TGTGTGCAATTATCTAGGGAGCATTAGGGGCTTGTTCAGTCCTTGCTGAAGTGCATGCTACACAGATTCACAGCTCAGGATCTAAGATAGCCAGATTATAGCCAACTTGAGAAGGTCTACTCAAGATGAGTCACATGCTGTGATTACAGTATAAACATACGCTAACAGAACCCTATGAGGCACACACAACCAAAAAGTATATTATATCTTCTTACTATATATTTTAGAAATGTGCATCTGTCTGTTTGCCAATCTATTTGTTCAAAAACTCCTCCTAAATGGTAAGAGCTAGGACCACCAAATTTGGTATGCAGTTTCCTCTTATCAAGTTTAGTTGTGCCAGGGCAATGGGATGTGCCTGGAATTCGGTTGTTTCTCATAAAACTGGCAAGAGACAGTTATACTGCAGAATGACCATACAGGGGGCAGAAAGGGGCCAGAGATGGGGACCAAGACAGCTATAACCCCATTGGGCCAACAGAGGGCAGAAGTGGAGAAAGGCACTGCTATCTATTATGTATTTCAGATAATTGTCTGTGTGTCTGTTTGTCCCCCAGCTAGGAGATATATACTTCTTCCCCCACTCTACTACTGGAGCTACTGCAGCCATGGAAAAGTGTTTCTCCTCTGGCACTCTAGCCCCACTGGGGGAGGGGCAGGGAGGACTGAGGTTCAGGGCTTCTCATAGGCCAAATTTACTCTTCTGGGTTTCCAGGGTTAGTGGATTTTGTGGACTCCCTTAGGCTCTGGGGCTGGGAAAAAAATGAGGGGTTCAGTGTGCGGGACAGGGCTGCCAGTGAGAGGGATGGGGTGCAGAATCTAAGCAGGAGGTGTAGTGCAGGAGGGGGTGAGGGTGCAAGGTCTGGGAAGAAGTTGGGGTGCAGGAGGAGGTGAGGGTGCGAGGACTGGATGGAAGGTAGGGTATGAGTAGAGTGTCTGGCCAGAGAAAGGGGGCAAGAGCAAAGGAAGGTGCAGTGTGAGCCAGGAGGGAGGGGGCAGGAGCAAGGGTGGGATAGGTGTCTGGTCAAGGGGGAGGGTGCAGGAGCGGGTTGGGGATGCAGGGTCTTGATGGAGGGAGGTGTGTGAGGGGGGTGCACAGAAGGCTGCAGGATCTGGGCATCAGGGTGCGGGGGGCACTTACTTGCCTTTGCACCCTGCACCATTTCCAGGCACGGCCTTCTGCTGCTCCTACTGGCCAGATTCTGGCCACTGGGAGCAGTGGAGAAATCCTCCAGGTAGAGCGCCCACACGCTACTGTTCCCCCAGAAAGGATAGGAGGAGGGGGGACGCTTCTTCCCCACGAGCCAGATCGTGCAGTGAGGCTCAGGGCTTTCTCTACCTTCCCCTGACAGAGGGAAGCCACTGCTGGAACTTCACCCACATGGGGGAAGGAGGGCAAAGCTGGAGTGCCAGAGTGGGCTCCCTGCTGCAGGGGGAAAAAAAAAAAATCGGGGCTAAGCTTGAGCTGGGGACCACCTGCAAGGTAGATGCACCACAGTTTCAGACAAACTTGCTCATAGACAGACAAAATCTCTGCAATATATAGTAAATAAAAGTTAAGACCCCAGCATAATAGATGGTCTGAATAGGAGAGGGGGACCCCACAGAGAATGAGTAGATGATATAGTAGATTGATGTGGAGCTAGTCTACAGAAACTAAGCCACTCTGCACTGGACAGGGAATGATGGAAAGAGGGAGGCATTGGACACCAACTGGCGTTGAGTCTATGGTTCTTGATGATGATGATGTCCCCTTCTCCACCCCTGTTGGCCAAATGTGGTTATAGCTGCCAAGACCCTATTTCTGACCCCTTTTGCCCCACTGTGGTCATTCTGCAGTACAATTGTCTCTCCTACCAGATCCCTCCCTTTCCATTTTTTGAGCAACAATCAAATTCCAGGCAGATCCTATTGTTCTAAGTTATGATAAGAGGAAGCTGCCTACCAAATTTGGCAGTTTTAGCTCTTACCTTTTAAGAGGAGTTCTGGAACAAACAGACTCAGGAGGATGGACAGACAGATGCACATTTCTACTACATATAGTATAGACAGAAGATAGATTTATGACAAGTTACAATCCCCTTTCCTTAAGTTTACTTTGACCTTTTAACTATTAATCTGAAGTCTACAATTTCTGCTGTTTCTACAAGGATTAAGCTGTCATATTAGTTACTCTGTTTGAATTAACTTGGACTCTTTCAGTTCAGAACTTAGCCTATGGAGAACAGATAAACTAGATGAACGTAAATTCTCATATTTCTGGACTGCTTGTGTGGCATTAGAGAAAAACAAAATTATCTTTAACCCATCCAGTACTTTCTGGTAGACTCTTTTTAGTCTTCCACATGTATCGTTAGGCCTATTGAAGTCAATGGAAAAATTCCCATTTACCTCAGTGGACTTTGGATCAGGCCCCTATAGAATGTCTAGGTCTATTCATACATCTAGTTTGGATGTGCCCATCATGTTGGTATCTAAGTTCCAAAAACATGTAGACGTCATTACATATTTTTTGCATATGGTACCTGCTCTCTACCAGCTTTCTCTTGTTCTCCCTTCCCTCACCTCCCACAAGAAACATCACTGGACTGTTCTTCTGACATTGTTATTGAGGAAGGTCTTGTTCAAAATAATAGGCTTGCAATTTTTCCTATAGACAGCGAGGTTTGAGCTAACCCTGAACTTTGATGTTAAGGAATTCCATAGGCAATGATCTTCCATGGCAATTTCTTGCCCATACCTACAAAAGCTTTATTTTGGGCTCTGACAAATGCAGTATCCTCACTGAGCATAGCTATCCATGGTGGTTCTGCCTGACTGAGGGCTTGTCTTCACCACAACACTAAATTGGTGTTGGTAGTACATCTGGTGAAGACATATTACATCGATGGGAAAGCACTCTCCTGTCAACGTAATTGCTCCACCTCAATAAGAGGCAAAAGCTATGTTGGCAGGAGAGCATCTCCCACTGACATAGTCAGGTGTTGATACAAGTTACCAAAAAAAACCCACTTCTTTTTCACAGGGCTTGTCTACACTACTGCTTAAGTCAATGTAAGTTACATTGCTCAGGAGAGTGGCTTTTTCATGCCCCTGAGCAATGCAATTTACATCAACTTAAGCAGTAGTGTAGACAAGCTCTGTGAAAAAGAAGTAATTTGTTTGCCACTTGCTAACATGTTGGTAACTGGAGCTGGTTGAAAATTTAAAAAAAAACTGTTTTCTGTAAAAAAAAAAAATGCTGTTTTTTCAAAACCTGTTCGTTTTGTGGAAATGGATCAATTCTGACAAAAGTTTGAGGGCAGGAGGAAGAGAGAGCGCATGAGCCAGTTCATTCCAGCTCAGCCAATACCCTAGTGATTAGGGCACTCAGCTAGGCTCTGGCAGACTCATGTTCAACCCACTGGTCTCGAGGTTAATGCCCTCATCACTGGGCTACACAGTGAGTCTTGTGCTTTCTCTCCTGTTGAAACTGTTCCACCCTGTGTAAATCATGCAATGTTAATTGCTCCAGAGTGATGCTAACTATACAGTCCTATGCGTAAGGCACCAGCCTTATGGTGACTCAGACAGAGAAGGACCCTAAATCTAGGTCTCCCATATCCCACCTGCCTGAACTAACTGCCAGGCTATTGGCCCTTGAGGGATAGCCTCTTGCTCACGTTTCCATAGTAAAATTCTAAAACCTCCAGAATTTTCCACAAAAGGCAATTGTAGTTTTCCAGCCAGCTATCCCAGCAACTCATTTTTGATGAACTGCATTCAATTTGTGAATGCTGCAGAAAGGAGCTATCCTGGAAAAATGACCCCTCACTCTCACAGGCCTTGGAGGACAGGCCAATCCTTGCCTATAGACAACCAACTAACCTCAAACAAATTCTTTCCAGCAACCATGCAGCACACCTCCAATGTACTTATCCAGGAACCCCCCTTGCTCCCAAAACCACATATAATCAACCCCGGTGCCAACTACACAGGTCTACACACCTATTCAAGTGACATCATCACAGGACCTAACCACATAAGCCACCACATCAGAGGCTCATATAACTGCATATCCATCAGTGTGATCTATGCCACGACATGCCAGCAATGCCCCTCGGCCATGTACATTGGCCAAACTGGACAGTGTCGACAAAGGATTAATGGACACAAATCAGATATTCGAAATGGTAACACACAGAAACCTGTTGGGGAATATTTCAACTTGCCCGGGTACTCACTAATGGATCTAAAGGTGTCTGTATTATTTCAAAACAATTTCAAAAGTCTCCTGGAGAGAGAAACTGTAGAACTGGGTTTCATTTACTCTGACACCTTGAATAGTGGTTTCAACAAAGATCTGACCTGAATTGGCTGCTACTTTCCATATCCTAATGACATAAAATGCTAAGCACCAGGTACTTAGAATACTTATAACCCACCCTATTAGCCTCATTTAGCAAGGACACTCTAATTAACAAAAAAAATGCATGTTTTCCCCTTTTCTTTCTCTCCCCAACCCCTCTCTTTCTCTGCTATTTATTTGCACCCCGGACCTCTTATCTCCATTCATCTGAAGACGTGGGTTATGCTCATGAAAGCTCATGATACCATCTACATTTTTTGTTAGTCTCTAAGGTGCTGCAGGACTATTCATTGTTTTTTTAAGTTTTTTTCAGAATGGAGCGATGTCATTTTCAAGTTCAGATTGACACCAATGTCTTTATCACCTTCAATGCTGACAGATTGTCTCTATCTGAAACTTTTATCTTTTTGAATCTTTAACTTCACCAAATTGCACTGTCTGAGCTTGTCCTGATCACTTGAGATGAGGTTAAAGCACTCCTTGGTAAACTCATGTTTGATTAAGAGAAGGCAAAAATAGTTATCCAAAAATGGCAAGTAGTTTATCTTTCTCCCTCTCCCCAGCTTCTTCCACCCTCCCCCCTTTACAGCATTGTTTCAAAGCAGACATGAAATTTAAAAAAAAAAATCAAATCACAAAAGCTCACCCCTACATTTCATCTGAATAAAATCCAGCTGGTGAATTGACTGTAGTAAAGGTTCACTGTCCAGAGTCAGGTCAAATTCAGCTGACACTTTCGGTTCCAAGGCTCCTTTAACCCACTGTTCCTGAGAGACCTGAACACGTTTGATTAAAGCATCTGAAATCTTAAGAAGAATATTAGGGCTTTTAATGAAACTGCAAATGCAAAATGTATCAGAATAAGTTAGAAATGACAAATCTGAATGACTATGCCATAGCATCACAAGTGCTAGAACTAGAGGTGCAGGATCTTGCTGCCACACTCCCTGGCTTAAAGTAGATTCCATTATATAGAGTTTTTACAGTTTGATTCAATGGCTCTCAGCACCCCCACTATAAAAATTGTTCCAGCACCTCTGCATATCATAACTGAAACAAGACACATAGCAATTTTGTTCCACGTGCGCTGAAACTTCTCATACTGACTTTTCAGAACAAATCCCCTGTGAGAATAAGGGGGGAAAAAAGAGTTTTCTTTGAGAAGAAGCATTGTAAAAGGGGATCTGGCACTTCAGGGTACTATCCTGCTGATACCTCACATGAGGCGACTTTATGGTTGCATGTGACAGGAATTTGATTTTAAAAAGTGGTTTAATTAATTCATATAGTGAGAAAATAATCCTTTAAAAAGGATCAATCTAGAAAACATTTCCATCTGTAAATTAGGTTGGACGTGCAACAAGATAGGCATTCCATATCTCCATCAAAATGGGCACACATTTTGATCTCACACACTGGCAGGTTTGAAGGTTGAGAGGTATGGCAACAGGACCGAGTCATATCAGGAGCAAGTTGAAGGCTTGGTGGGGTCCATGATGCAAGGTTTCTAGGCTTCTCTAACTAAGGCTAAGTCTATACTGCAGCCTTCTTCCGCAAAAGCTTATGCAAATGAAGCATGGAGTAGAATATCACTGTGCTTTATTTTGCATAATTAATTAGCAGCTGTTTTAGCGCAAAACCCCCTCTTGCGCAAGAGCCGTTCTCCCTGAAAAAATGAGGAAGAACGGCTCTCACGCAAGAGCGGGTTTTTGAGCAAAAAGGAGCCATCTACACAGCTCCTTTTTGCACAAAAGCCTCTTGCGCAAAAACAGCTGCCAATTAATTATGCAAATGAAGCATGGCAATATTCTACTCTGAGCTTCATTTGCATAAGCTGTCGCAAAAGAAGATTGCAGTATAGATGTAGCCTAACTGACACTGGAACTGGGTTGGTACAAAAATCGGGAAGCCATAACCAGGTCCCTGATGGTTCCCTACCACATCCCCCCACCAAAGAGAGCAGGTTAGGCAAAGGGGAGAATTGAGTCTTCCATTTCCATGCCAGTCTTGGCCTCTATTGAGACTACCAAAAAAAGTACCAATTATGTTGGAGGGTTTTCTCATGAGGCAGACCCTTGTCCATTGGGAAATACAAAATGCCACCAAATTATTTCATACTAGCCACCAAACTATAATAATTTCTGGGCATTATTGACAAGGTCAGAATATGAGCCTATGTATGAGGCTATGTCTACACTGCACAGTTATTTCGGAATAAGCTACGCTGGAATAGTTATGCCGAAAAACCTTATTTCAAAATAGCACGTCTACACCTCAGGGAATCCTCAAAATTAATCCGAGGCAGGCTTCCCTAATGTAGACATGCTATCTTGATTTAGAACCCCGGGAGGAATAACTTAGAATAGCCCTGGTGAGGAGCTATTTCGAAGTAGCAGAAGTGGAGCATCTACACATGCCTTATTTTGGAATAGCTATTTCGGAATAGGTGTTATTCTTCGTAGAATGAGGTTTACAGAAGTCGGAATAAGCTATCTGTTATTTCAAAATTATTTTGAAATAATGGAATTGCTGTGTAAATGCTCATATAGTTATTTTGGAATAACGGCCATTATTCTGAAATAACTTTGCTGTGTAGACACACCCTGAAAGGCTCCATCATCCATCTCCAAGCCATTAATCCAAACTCTCCATATCAGATCAAGTTTTATATTCCAGTACAACCTTTTGTTTTTTACAAAACTAGGAAGGAAAATACCTGCAAAAACCCAGAAGGATCGTTTTCTTTGATTACTTCCAGACAGTATTCCATAAGTCCCGTTGACTGACGTAGCTTCAGAGTACAATGATTTATCTGGTCCCACACAACCTGCAAAAGAAAACATCAGTACATTTCTGATAATCCACTCAGCTTTCACTGAATCAAGTACATTATTTCAGAAGCAGTGGCAGTGAATAGAAGAGAGTCTTAAAGTTATGTTTGCTTTAGCTGCCATATGGGTATTGCCGCATCTGCATCCGCTACACTTCTTTGCTCTGTATTGTCAATACTGATAAGTAGTTTGGCAAAATGTCATATACAGGGAATCTCAATTATAAGAACAGATTGTGCTGAATACTCAGGTCTGCTCATGGTTGAAGGAATTAGAATCTAATCGGTGTTAACTGCAGTCGCAACCGCACTTCCATTAAAGTTTGAGCTTTTAATACAAAAACTAATTTAAACCTAATATATTAATTAGGATAACTATGAGAACTGCTGTACAGTCAATAGTCTGTCATTCCCTTCATAATTACAATAGACCCCCTGTTCGTCCAGAGGATTCATTGCTTGGGAAAAGAATAAAAAAGGCACATCTCCCCCTTTTCCCAACTTTGGACTTCTTTCTGCTCTCATCTTGCTGTAAATCAGGAGTAAATCCATTGAAGTCTAGGGAGTTATTCAAGGTAAAAATGGTGTAAGTGATAGGAGGATCCAGGGTTTTTGGTGGGACATTACAAATTTAGGATATTGTCAGAGTGATGTTCCCAGATCACTAAGCTTAAGCAGTGTTTCCATTCCTTTTATATTTTGTTAATTAGACAATACAAAAATATTTGTAAGGCACCCAAAACTTGTAATTTATAGCTATCAAAAACAGATCTATCGGCATGTCTCTTGAGAAAAGAGTGAACAAAGGCTTCAGGATGTGTTTTATTGACATTAGAGGTTCCACAGGTTTTTACAAAATGGCTAAAATCTGAAGTTTTATTCAATTCTTTCCCAAATAAGATTGCTTCCATTTGATCAAAACCAGAGAGGTACTGAATGCTTGAACTGCTGATAATTTCAGTAGGAGTTGTGATTACTTAGCACTTGTCAGGATTTGACTCGTAAACTTTAATAAGAGTACCGCCTAAGACTGAAGCACTATTGAGTAAGTTACTTAAGCACATGCCTAACTTCAAATACATGAATAATGCCATTGAAGTCATAGTTATGGACCTTGTTAAACGTTAAGAATAAGCATTTCAAGAAATGAACAATGGGGAATTTAACTGAGTAAAGATGTGTGCATTAACAGTAGGCTAAAGAGTCATTTCAGTATAAATATGTTCTAGAATGCTTGCAACTCAATAGTTATGCTCACCTTTAATTTGTGCTCACGCTCTTTGGTAACTTTTGTGAGCAGTTTTGCCTTTTGACGAGTCAATGCATCAACCAAGGCATCACACTGAGCAACCAGACAAGCTTCATAATCCAACCCATTCTCCTAGAAGAAAGTGACAATCATATTAATCTATGAAAATGAAGTTTTTACAGTAAAAACTGTTATTTACCCAAACTATATACACATTTTACATTTTCAAAATGTTTCCTTTCAAGAATTTGGCATGTCCATGTTTCCTTTGTGATTCCATTACATGTTGCACCATTAACAGCTGCTGGCTATAAAATGCCTAAAGGGACACTGTCAAGATGATTATGCTACAAAATTGATTTATGAGACCCATTAATATATTAGCATTAAGCAGCTCCTGCTCCCCCACCCTGCTTTCTGCCTCTGATATAGAGGCAGCAAGGGAGAGGGGGAAATTCAAGTAGTCGATTCAACTACCCAATAAGTCTAGGCTTATCGGATGGTTGACTATTCGACTACTCTTTTACATCCTTACACACAACAGTAATTTCCACTCAAATAAAAAACTGAATTGATTTTGGCAGTGCTTGTGCCCATTTTGTGTTTTAACTTTCCACAAATATCGTAACAATTAAAATACAAATATATTCTCAGAAACTGCATATTTTAAGCAAATATTAGACTTTTCACATGTCGTAAATTTTGAATTTGTAAAAATGAATATTTATATCAAAACCTGACAGAATTACACTCATTCAGTCAGTTAACAAAAGCACATCATACTATTGAATTTGTATTTCAACTTCTTGCACCAAATGGCATACATTCTACAGGCCAACAAATATTTGCAGACATTAACAGATGAATAGTATTGCCTGCAGATGCATTAAAGGAAACTATATGTTATTCCAGGCAATTTATGAACAGTCAGAGACTAAAGTAATACATTAAATTATGCACTAAGCTCTTATGTCTGTTGTACAGGCAGTCCCCGGGTTACGTACAAGATAGGGACTGTAGATTTGTTCTTAAGTTGAATCTGTATGTAAGTCGGAACTGGCATCCAGATTCAGCCGCTGCTGAAACTGATCAGTTTCAACAGCGGCTGAAT